TTTATGTTAGAAAACAAAGAAAGTATAACAAGAAGCAAATTAGGGACTTGCTTGCTACCACACAAACATCAAAAAGGGGTAAATCTAAAATCTTATGCACTTGGATGGTAGGATTGTTTTTAATTGTTTTGAGTTTCTATGTTTCTGTTGTTAGTTTCAGAATAAAAAATTGTAATCATCATAGGAATTCTTAATGCGATCTGAGTTTTCACTGTTTTTTAGGTTGGAAATAAGGCAACCTTCTGAACGAGTTCATCATGTAGCAGGGATGGTTGAAGCGAAAGTTGAAAACATTAATGAGGCTTGGGAGGTTTTGCAAGCTGGAAGCAGTACCAGGGCTGTAGGATCAAATAACATCAATGAACATAGTAGCCGATCCCACTGGTCTGTGTTAATCCTGACTTTCTTACTAGTTACACTTCATTATAAAATAGTTCTCAAGTCATAGTAACTAATGGTTCCTCATTAATTCTATATTAGCATGCTTTGCATATTGGTTAGAGCAAAAAATTTGATAAGTGGTGAGTGCACAAAGAGCAAGCTATGGCTGGTGGATTTGGCAGGCAGTGAGAGGCTCACGAAAACCGAGGTGCAAGGAGAACGGCTGAAGGAAGCTCAAAATATTAATAGGTCCCTTTCAGCTCTGGGAGATGTAATATCTGCCCTTGCAACCAAAAGCAATCATATCCCTTACAGGTTTGCTCTGTCATGGTTACTTTTATCAGGCATTATGGAGATCTGTTACTTAACTTGTGATTTTACAGGAATTCCAAGCTTACTCACATGCTCCAAGATTGCGTAGGTAAGGAGGTGCACAAAAAGAAGCTCTCAACGCACACTTAAAAATTTTCAAATGTGTTGAAAGGTTCAAAGCAGTCTTTCAGAAGAACCCATTAAAATGATTATGGATGTTTGAATCCTTAAGTATGATCGAAATCCAACAAAACAGCCTCATTGTTTTGGCCAAAAAAAAAAAAAATCTAATCCTTCTATGAGATAAACGTGCAATGCTTTGATTTACAAATTATACATCCTTTTATTCCCATTTCTTCTCTGCTGTGCTTGTAGTACTCTATTGGTTCATATGCTTAGTGAAATACGTGCTGCAGGGGGAGATTCCAAAACTCTGATGTTTGTACAAATCAGCCCCTCAGAGCAGGATCTTGGTGAAACTTTAAGTTCATTAAATTTTGCAACTCGTGTTAGGGGAATTGAGCTAGGTCCTGCAAAAAGACAGATTGATAAGGGTGAGCTTCAAAAGCTGAAGATCGTGGTAAGTTCATATGGTTTTGTTAGCACACTATTTTCATGGATAAAAGCCACATATATTTAAGAGGACTAAATACGCTAAAGTTTTCTCTGTGGACTTCTGAAGGTCGATAAAGCAAAACAAGAATTGAGATCCAAGGATGAGGCATTGCAGAAGTTAGAAGAAAGCTTCCACAATTTAGAGGTTAAGGCAAAAGGCAGAGATCAACTATCCAAAGATCAACAGGAAAAGGTCAATGAACTTGAAAGTCTGCTTGCTTCAAAGACAGAGTTATGCAGACAACTCCAGAAGCAGTTGTCACAATTTTCTGACAGAATGCAGGGGAAGGAAGAAATTTGCTTGAATTTTCAGAAAAAGGTTGCTTGACTTGCTGACGTTTTGTCTCCCTTTCCAAAACTGATGATAATTAAACTCTTATTAGCTGACATTTAACTTAATGTTTACTGTAGGTCGAGGAGCTTGAGAGCAGACTGAAAGAGCGTGAACGAGTAGAGTCAATAATTCTTCAAAACAAGGTTCTTACTTGAAAGTTCTATGTGTTTGACTAACCATAGTAAGAGTACATATTATAGCACCATCTTAGCACTTATTGAGTCCAAGAGGGTGCTATTAGTTATTGTACAAGAAATTGAATTCCATTATGTATTGTGGCTGCACTCTCATCAGTTGCTATTGCAGAGTCCATCCTAACTTAGACCTCATTCTTTAGGAAATATCTCTTATTGAAAAAAGGTTGAGGTACAAAGTTTTTAATTCATTATCATGTCCTTCACAGGTCAAAGAACTTGAGAGCAGACTTAAAGACAAAACACAAGAATTTGACCTTCGGTCAAGAATCCTTAAACAAAAGGTAGCGTAACCAATGAAATTATTGAATGTGGTTATGTCTCTTTCTCATTCAGCAATTGTTTTAGTCAGTTAGTGAGGAAATTAAGACAAATGCAAAGTCAAGATTGAGTGGAGACCTTTGAATTAGTCCACTATTTAAGATCTTTCTCTCTCTCTTTTTCTCTCATTATCTTGTAGAACTCCTGCATAGGGCCTAAATAGTAACGAATCTCATGATCTTGGACTAATCCATTTGTATTTTGCTGTTATCTTCTCTTTGATCATACTTTAATTCATATATACACGTACCACTAGTGCTTCTAGACGTCAGATCGCAAAAACAAGCTTTTAGTGTTGGTTTTCTGCTATAATTAGTGATATGCAGCCACTTAAAACTACTACTGTAGGCTCTGGTGAAAATTTCTTCATTTTGTCTGTTTTTGTACAGATGCACAAATTCTCTCTTTTGTCTCCCTTTTAACTTCTTATCTTCTTATTATTTCCATTATTCTGTATACTGTATGACTAATGAACCAGCAATTGAGATGATTTATCACAGCAATTGAGATGAATTTGTCTTTGAACCATCAAAATGACGGATATGTTCTTCCACCAAAAGAAGATAAAGATATGATATGTTATGCTTACTGATGTGCTTTTTTGTCTGATACAGGTTAGAGAACTTGAAAGCAAGCTGACCATGGAAAATGAGAACTCACAATGTCAACTACTTCAAGAAAAGGTTCCCCATTAGACCATTATAAATCTAAAAATAATATTCATAAAAAAAAAAATCATAACAATAATGTGTTCCCACTATAATTACACTTACTAGACCATAATTTCTCTATGTTATGGCAGATTAAAGTGCTTGAACGAAAGTTGAAGGAGCAGCAACACCAAGAGCATATGCTAACTCAGTGTCAATATTCAGCAGGAAAATTAGGAGCCACACCTAACGAATCTAAAATATTAAGAGCAGAAAGCATGGGTGACATCGGTCCCATTGGCATGAGAATTTTGCAGTCTGGTAACCGAACAAGTAATCATGGGTCTGGTTTGCTAAAAGGTACAGACTCCCTCCGCGAGATACGGAGAAAACAGATTCAGAGCAAAGGAAGCGAGAACAATATCTTGTTGTCAGCATCTCTTCTCGAGAGGAAGAAATCATCTTCTGATGAGTTGGAGAAGTCCAAGAACGCTACCTCATCTAAAGCTTTGGCAAGGTTTACAAGAAGTATAAAACCAGTCAGCACTGTGCAACCTGTGATTTCTAATGGCAAAGTTAACAGAAGTTTTGATCCAAGGTTGAAGGAGAAAGGTAACAAACTAAATATGCGGTTGAGATAGTATAAAAAGTGAGAACAGATTATTATACATGTATTATGTTAATCTTTCAAGTGAGATTTGGTTGAATGATAAATAGAGCAAAGAAGTAACAGTGTGGTAAATGGTTGCTACATAATGTTCTTGAATTATAGGTTATTTTTCAAAAACTTTTAAATTACATATATATTAATATTATCAATAAATCTCACTATTTTATTGTATATCCATAAGAATGTTTGTCCAAGTAAACTCCTAAAATCTCTTTACTGTTTTCAAATTTTCTAATTATTTTAATTAAATCTGTAGTAGTCTTATAGATAATTTTTTACCAATTTGGAAACTATATTATTTTGTGAATCTAGCAAACATGCACATATTCAAAGGAATAGATTTTCGAACTCTGGAATTTGGTACCAAAATGTTTTGATGTTCTAAGCCTCATAAATTATATTATTTTTTTTTTGGAAGAGGTTTTTCTTAATTAAACTCTCAAAAGAAAATTTCGGTTCACGTAGAAAGCAAAAAGTTATGCGAACTTAGACGCACTGGACTGCGAAGTTTTGTGAATCTACCATCATCATTCATTAGCTATACTGCGAAGCGAATTTCTTTTTTTTTTTTTTCATCATGATTTTATGTTCTAATTATTTTGAAAAAGACATTACATTGCCCATATTAAAAAAATAACTGAATATACATTTATAATTTTTTTTAACAAAAAAAAAAAATGGATACCTGCCCATTCTCCCCCACCGAAAATCTTAAATTCCAACTTATTTAAGTCAAAATAAATTGCTCTTTACTTTTTATGTAAATACCACAGCAGGCTAGTCCAACTGATTTTAAAACTTCAATTCTTAGAAGGCAACTTCAAATGATAATCGACTAAGAAAATAACTTAAACACAAAGGTCTAAAAAAAAAAATGAAAGTAGAGGTAGGAGGAGTAGAAATATTAGACGAAGAGGAAGAAGGGGGCAGAATTGGCAAATTGTAAAACTGCCAGAAGCATTAGCCATATAGCCAATACACGACTGTACAATCTATGAACATGTATCAACTCAACATCTCATATCCACCCTTTCGCTTTTTCCCCCTTCCCTTTTTACCCAATTCATTTCCAAAACACCCATTTCTTTGACACATTTACCTTATATCTACACAAATTACACCCACAGAACTCCACTGTCTCTCAGCCGAACCCAAATCCTTCATTGCCTTCATGAATCGCGAGCAGCAGTCTCTCCTCTAGATGTTGTTTAGACGGATACTCCGGTAGATCCAATTGGTTGAAACTGCATGAATTTTGTACCAGTAAATTAACAAGAATAAAGTTTTGCACAAGATTGGATATGACAACAATAAACCGTAAAACTGCACAAGAGAATAAAATGTACCATGTATGAGCAGAAGGTAAATGATCGGGGCTGCCGTATGCCTTGTGTATCTGAAATTTCTGTGAGCCTGATATTCCTTGAAGTGCAACAAAGCCTTCTAGAGGAACCTGCAAATCCAGCAAAAAGAACGAAAGAAAAGTTTTGTTTATATTTACATATGCAAATGAATCTTAGGTTTACATTTACATATATGCACATAGTTGCTTTTTGTCCCATATTATTGTCAACGCTAGAGTAGCTTTAAATCTTGGTAATGGACATCAATATGTCCCACTGAAAAAAGAGTAAACTAAAAACTTGAGACAGACTTTGGCACCACAGCCGTAGAATTATTAACCCTGCCCTTTGTGATGCATAATGGATAAGCTCTATGTTAGATAATTGATTAGAAATCATAATTTTATTAAGTATAGGACTACTATACTCTCGACTTATGATCTTTTATTATACTTCTAGTATTTTATTGTTATTAGGATTTAGCTTTCACATATGCATCGGTGGTATGATTTTCTAATCCTATTAGGACTTGTATTTCTTAGTTTAATTTTATTAAAAAAAAAAAGCTATTCAAAAAGAATTATAAGGTATCTTTTTTGATAATTCAATTTTTTTTAGGGAAAGACTTCAACAAAATACTTTGAGTCTCTCACTTTTCTAGTGACAGGATGCAATCAAAATCTATGCTTAAAACTTATTAGGCGTGGTGTCTAAAACACCCTGGGTGTAAGATTTAGTTATTCTCCGCTAAATTAACAGAATTTGTCTTACATCACTCTGTACCCCAAACGAAATATAGTCTAATACTATTCATACTGTCTACTTATTGTAGGGTACATTTGTTCAGTACTGTACTGTAACCCTATCAATCGTTACCAATAAGCACATAAGAATATTCATTGCAAGTGCTACAGCATAATAAAACAAATAGAAGCCAGGACTCGTGGAATGTTTGAGAGCTAGGGTAACAATATCGAAGTTGTCACGAGCATAAACCATTTAGAAATGCATTGATGTGCAGATTTTCACAATTCATTTAAGATTTATAAACAACTAAATCATGCATAATGGTCCAAAATCTTCATAAAAAGGGAGGATTCTTAAATCGACCATAGTAGTTATTTATCACTTTTAAGCTCGTGTGAATTCTGTATGCAAGGTATACATTTCACCATACTCTACAGGAATTTATATATTTATACTTCTATTTCCAAAAAAAAAAATATATTGCACAGGAATTTATGTCATTAACCAATCGATGCTTCAAATGAAGACAAAAAGTTAAATGTATCCGAAACTTTTGCCACTAAAGCTTCCTATTAGTCAAGCCACTCAAACCATTTCATTGTCATCTTGTCAAGACTTGCAAAATCTGGCAAGTACTATGTTTTGTGCAGCAGATATAACTACTGAAAACAAGACAATAATGAGAACATTTATGTACAGATAGTTAAAAACAGACAAAGAAGACACATTACCTTTGAGGTGCCAGTCACAAATTGCAGAAGCCGAGCCTTATCCTCCTTGCTGAAGCCTTGAACAACCTCCCAGAACCACTGGATAACAGGAGATCCAGGACTGTATCCAGAATACTCAGTATTTGCCCTCATGTCATCCACTGTAAGATATTGATGCACGAACTATTTGTTAGGATTTATTCATTTGTTTCTTTTTACCAATTTCAACATGAACAAATCACAAATTGCATCACATGAGTAAATAATTTGATAGGACACTTACAATCAATATCCGGAAGACCACTAATTAATAATTCCAATTCCTTGTCGTTGAAAATAGAGATTAAATCTCTGGGAATCAGCTCATTAAATCCTTCCAAAAATGCATTTATTTGAGGACGAATAGCAGTTGTCAAACGATGTTCGGCAACTAGATCAACATATTGATGCTTATTTTCCTCTGTTACTTTCATGTTCCGGCCTCCAGGAATCAACTCATGGTCAGTCACCTGTATTAAGTTTATGAAACTCAAATGTTAAATGATTGATTTTCGAAGTTACAAGAGGTGATGACAGAACTTAGAAGAAATATTACCTCTGTCCTCTCATACAATATAAGTTTCTCTTCATCAGCATCTATGCTAAAAGTAAGATCAGGGACATCACTAATATCATTCTGCAAAAGTAAACATGTGAAGATCAAGACACAACAGATAGAGGTGAAGTAAAAGCAAAAGAAACCATGCATGTATGCAATATATTGTCATAAATGTAGAAGACGCTGCCAATGCTTTAGAAAAACTATTGAAAACATCACTTGAAAGTAAAACTAGCAAGAAGCATACCTCAAGCATCCACTTCAGATTTTTGAAGTAATCAGGATCAATGGCTTCAATGTCATGATATGTAACTTTAACTCCAAGGATATGCTTATAAAAAGATCGTGTGAAATGGACATCCAAGAGTTGCCCATCGAAGAGCGCTTTTCCAACCTGAAACAACATCGAAGAATGAATAAAAGTCTAACCAAGTCAATCTAGTAAAATCCCAACTAAATATAGTACTTACAACACGACCAACAAACTTGAAGTATGAAAGATGTTCTGTTTGGTAAACAGAGTTAGGATTTGGCTGGAATGTTGACTCGTTGCCAACAGTTGTAAAAAGTAGTGCTCCTTTGTCAAAGATAACTCTAGACAATAGCTGATACCATTCCCTTGTCAGTCCACCCGCATCAATACCTTCCTCTCCTTGAAAGTGAACAGTTAGCCTGCCCTTTAATTCTTGAGTTGATCGCATTCGCAGCTGGTTATATGAATCTTCAAGAATATAAGCTCTTCTAACAGAAATTCTTAAAGGACTATGGTGATGATCATGTTGGTGCTTTATCTTTGACCTAAAATGGGAACGCTTGTTATCAAAATCAACAAAGCGAGGAACACTCAGCATAAGTGAGAAAGACTTCTCAAGCAATCCAGGGTTTTGACGGATGAAAGCATTTAGCAGTTTCCTATGCTTCTCTGAGAACTTCACGAAACCAGCATGCTTCTCATCCACCTTTGGAGTAGCTTCTGAAGTTTTTGGCTGGCCAGTGGACGTGCTGGCATCTTCAACCTCAGAAACTGAAACAATACTAAAGTCAAGACCTGATCCTGGTTGTGCAGGATGCAACTTCTCACACACCACAAAGAAGGATTCTATATATGGTAAGATATTCTGAGCACCCGCAGGAAGTGGTGGTGTAACACCAGATGGTTTTGATGTTGAGATCCTCGATGGAATTAATGAATCAGGGGCAGTATCCGAATAGTTCTCCATCTTGCTTATGCAAGAGCTCAGTTCCAGCCACAAAGGCTCCAAAGTCCCATTGATGTCTGTCACCTGAGAGAGAGCAGCAGAGTAGTCCTTTTCAGGAAGAACCTGTTGATCTTTCTCTTTCTCAATCAAAGACCCAACAAGGGAGCTTAGCGCCTGCAAGACCCTTAAAATTGCAGCTCCATCGGAAGAGGAAGTACTCAGGAGTGCTTTCACTGCTTCACCAAACATGCGTAGCTCATCCATAGCTGACTTCGTCAAATTCTGTGTTGCATTTGCTAACTCAGTTATAAATAGTTGACAATGGCTTGGTGTGATTGACACCAACTTCTTCAATACCTCTGCCACAAGCGTATATGCATTATCTGACAAACTGGATAGAAAATGTAATATGTCAGACTTAACATATGATAATTAGAAGATCAAATGAAAGATTAAGCTAATTGATTTACTAAAATTCATCAATTTTCCTATTAAGAATTCATCAGCAGCAATTAGTAAATTGAGATTGTAATTCAAAAACATCAGCTAGTTTAATTAGTCTATTCTCTTATCGAACAAGTCTGCATATCCTAACAGGTCTACAAAATTAAGAAGCAATCGGCCATCACTACTTGCAACAGTTACAATGCTAACAGAAAGCTACAAGCATCCGGTGATGCAAAATAATCAACATAGAAAAACATAAAGAGATGCCTTTAGCAGATACATATATTCATCATACCCTTCCCGAGCAAGCAATGAGCAAAGAAGCTGAAGCTCATGTTGAGGCAGGTTAAGCAATATGCTTTGAGCATCACATTCGCTTTCTGCACTAGAAGTTGATGCCATCCTGGATGATGAACCAGTCCCAGAAGAAAGATCACGATTGTCCATACTAACTGCAACATCCGACACAGAAAGTTGAAGTACATTTCGATGTTCAGCAACAGATGCATCAGATTTGTCAGATGAGCCAGATTTGCTTTCAGCACTACATACGATGACATCCAATAAATTAAGCAGCTGAAAAAAGGCCAGAAAAGAAATTTTAATGAGACATAAATCAATAAGAATTGACAATATAATATAACTAAAATGTCAAAAAGAAAGAAATGGATCACCTGTTCAAGATGTGCTATACTTCTCAGGTAAAGAGGTTGATTCAAGAGGCTCAGAAGCAGTTCAATAGATATATATCCTCCTTGGTTCTGCTTTTTATTAATTTCATGCTCTTCACTAAATATTGCAGCTTTTCCTCGTGCCTGATCGGTATGCACCTGCTCTTCTAAGGAAGGAAGTGGAAGACTAAACTGAAGTAAAATCTTTGCCACATAGGGATGGTGGCGAGCCAAGTAAGTTAAAGTTTCAAGAACACGCCGTGACACCAATGGAGGAACTCCTATAAAAGAATCCACCACAGCCCATCATAAGCATCAAGTAAAGCCAATATTGTACATACCAATAAGAACCCAGATAAACACAAACATCCTCTCAAAAAACTGGCTTCAAGTAACTAAAGATGCTTCTACAATTTTCCATATAAAATGTACTCACAAACAAAAAATCTAGGCTCCAAAGACCCTACTTATCAGACAAGTTTGCACCAAGAAAGCATGTAATGCCAAGGTCAGATAATTATTAACTTAAAAGATTAATCAAGATAGAGACTTTACCATCAAAGTACTGGGGACGAGAATATTTCACATTACTTTGGCAAGCATAAAGCCGATACAGTGGCTCAGTGACATTTGAACAATTGCCAGGCTTCTTCATATCAAGCATCAGCATGTCCATCAGAATTTTGACTAGGGCAGTTCTGGTTTGGCTATGAGAACATAAATTCAATAGAAGTCTCTGAAGTGAGCCCTTGTACAATGGCTGCAAAATTTATCCCCCCAGAAAATCAACCTAAATGCACAGATCACAATCGAGAACAGTAAAATAAGCAGGGTCATAAATACCTGAACTATGCGAAGCAAGCGAATCATTGCTAGGAGACCTTCTGTGCTAACTAAAGGAGCTCCATCAGCTTCAACTACCTTAGAGGTAAGAGATCTGCGTGATACAATACTTCCTCCAGCTCTATCTAGGCTAGATCCAACACCTTCACTGCGCCTAGAAGACTCACCTCTACGACTTCTAGGATACATACCAAAAAGAGTGCGATTATGGTATCGATGCGCAAACCTTTCACGTAACAGGTTAGCCTCCGCAACAAGAGCAGGTGTAAGATTGGCAAGAATAGCATCAGATGATGTTAAGAGAACCTGAGAATGAAAAAAAATAATATCGATTAAAAGCACAAGATGCATAATTACACCACAATTGGCAATATACCTCTTCTCGCAACTCCGAAGGAAATGTTGCAATTATTGAAACTGTGTCCATTTCAACTGGTTGTCCTTCAAGTTCCTGGGATTGATGAAGCCTTTGTGCTTGCTGCTGCGCTAGAACTTCTGCTCGGATGTCTGGTGGAAGAGCTGCAAGGAATTCAGGATCAATATCTCCTGCATTTGGCCGCTCATTGTTTGAAGGCTGCGCCACTTGACCATGTTGGGCTGAGAGAACTTCTGCCCGTAACTCCTCGGGGAGAGCTTCCAAGAATGCAGGGTCAATGGAACCAGAACCAGCATCACTACTTACCTGCTGCTCCACTGAAGGGCCATCCTGATCGGCCTCACGACTAGAATTCTCTGAAACCTCAGTTACACTGTGAAGGGATACATCTCTGACAGCTGAAGGAACTGAATTCCCAAATGAAACACTGGATCTTCTTGTCCTAGTTGTCTGTGGATCTGCAGAACCATGCCTTTCTCCACCATCATCATGCCCATCAGCACTTCCAATTTCAACATCTAGGCTCCGAAGGCTTTCACCTAGAGTAGCACCACTTCCACCACTTTCTTGGCTCACTGCTTCAACATCCCGTACAGCTGCATCACTCTGTTCAAACTGCATTTCAACAGATTGTGATTGTGCACTTGAGACATCATTTACTTGTATTGGGTCATTCACTGCAGCCCTCATATCAGCATCAGCAGAAGTACCAAGGGCAACTGAAGAAGGAGGCGGCAAACTGAGATTTGCATTGAAATTATTTTCAGCAGGAGCTTCAGGCCTAACTGATTCCTGCAGCTGACCAGCCTCAGCTTGAGTTTGAGGTTCCACTGATGATGTGTTCTGATCAGAAGGTTTTGTTGGGCTGGGTCGTCTCAACTGGGAAACAAGCAACTCCTCAAGGCCTTGGGGTACTGTGGCTGGATTTGGTCCACCACTTGGATGGTTATCATCCATCCACAAGTTCATTCGGTGCCCATGGCGTACGTTCCTTAAAGACCGAAAAATAGCATCAAGCCGTGATGAATTACTCTCTGAGTTCCGATCTAATAAGGCCACATCACGTGTATTCTCTGGAGAAAAAATAAGGTCAGTCAGAGATAAAAGAAAGCAAACTGAACTAAGAAATGAAATAACTGAACATAGAAACATTGGACCCAAGTTGCATAAAATGATAATATATCAGGACAAATATCTGGGTGGGGAGCTGACCTGATTGTCTTTGGGAGATTGAACGCTGCAAGGAAGAAGGCCCTGATAAAAGAGGGTGTTGTGTGGGGACCGCATTGTCGCCAGTTCTGCCTAAAAGACTGTAGATGGAGGTGGTCCTTCCTTGACGCCTAGAACCAAAAACTTCAACTGGCATCACATGAAGAGCTTCATTTGGGAAGCTATGATCTCTTCCAAAAACCTCAATGTGATCAAAAACATTTATTCCATTGATTCCTTCTTCGAATCTAAGAATAACTCCATCCTCATCATCTTCATCCTCATCCTCATCTTCCTCCAATATTTCCTCATCAAATTCATCATCATCAATCTCATGCTCATCTTGATCTGTGTCATGATGAGGCAGGTGATGTACTTCATCTTCTTCCAGATCATTATGCTCCTCATCATCCTCATCTTCATCTTCATCTACCTCATCTCCATCATCCCCAGACATCTCCTCATCTTCATCTTCATCAAGATTCTCTTGAACATGAGGCTGGATCTCAAATCGTATACCCACAGTATCAATGCCATTTTCAAGATCCCTAGCATCCTCAGAAGTTTCTTGCATGTAGTCATCCTCAGCAGCAGGAGCAAACCCTCCATCAAGGTCCTGATCATGCTCCATGTCATCTGTCACAGCTTCAGATTCGCCATAGTGTTGGACTGTATTGAAAATCTCAGCGCGGTCAGCTGCCACAGGATCATGGTTCAATTCTGATGCCATTTCCATGGACTGGGACATGTCAGTAGCATTATCCGTTCTTCTGGGTTGATCATGATCATCAGGGGATTTGTTTGCATTCTCACCCTTTGCCACATTGGAATCAACAGAATGAACATGCTCCTTTGTTACCAACTCCAATACCTTGATAAGCCCTGTAACAGCTTTGGGAGACTCAGCATGATCTAAATCTAACACCTCAAGAGTCCGAGTGAGTGACCTTACCAAACCAACATCTATGAAAGTTGCAGAAGCTTCTGCAGAAATATACAAACCATTTGGTGCACGAGCAGCAAGCACATCGTTCAGCAGCTCAATCAAAGTTTGAACATCATTTCCAGGCGAGCGAAAACCATTACATGAATCCACAAAGTCATTGAAAATACAACTAATCTCCATGAAAATCCTCCTCCTGGCTTCTGCAGAGCGAACACAAGATGCCACCAAAAACTGGTTGGCTCTATATGCCAGTTTTTGCCTCCAGTCTCCATCAACTTTCCTCTCCTTTTTTGAGCTCCAATAGCAAGGAATAAACCTATGGAGAATATGGTAAAATATACCACCAGTTGAGCCCTTTTGATGGGGGGCCCTGCAGCTATTAAGTTCAGCATCTCTTCGAAGCAGAACGTGAACAGCTGAAGAATACATTAATAAAATCTCTGTTAAAAGTTTTAACATAAACACTATC